CAAGTTGCCCTAAAAAAGCATTGTTGGTTAACAGTAATAAATTAATGTGCAAAAAGGCTTTATTACTTAACTTTAAAGTCGCTCATAAAGCCTAATCATAAAGCTTCATTATCTCAAGACCAACTAGCACAAAGTACTACAATAAAATAAAAAGCATGTTAGCATCAAAATTTTGATGCATTTATAAAGCTTGCATAAAACCTTTAGTTTTAGGATCAAACTGTCGAGATCAAATTAAGTTTTGTTAAAAGGGTTTTAAAACATTTACTTATATGGACATTCTTTAAATTTTTATATTTTAAACGAGTTTTTGGGGTTTGGGATTTTCAACCACATTATATATTTTTTCTACCCCCACCTTTAAAACGACCTATATCGTCTCCATGACACTAAGTAACCTTTTAAATACACATTGACAGTTGTCAAATGTCATACAATCGTTAAAATAAAGTGCCTTTCTTGTAAAATAATACTAAATTTGAAAATTATTTTATTATCTCAATACAAAAATACAAAAGTATTAAATAGTTTCTCAACGCTAATATTTGAAAAGTTTATGTGAACATTGTACTGACCTTTTAATTTCGCCGGCAGTAAACTTAAATTCGGGCACGGACTCCACTGTAAAGTGCTCATAAAACATTTTCTTTACTTTCACTGTGAAAAACTGTCAATTTTCAAGAAATACATTTTGATTTATAACCTTTATAATATAAAAATTTGACATTTGACGGTGACACACATATTCTCCTATTGTTTCATAGATGGCGCTCTATACAAATTTTTGATTTAAATCATTTTAAGATAATAATAAGTATTTGTCGTAGAAAAAGTATAGTATGCACCTCGTCGTATAAACTTTTCTATACACTCATTAATTTAAGCACTCGCTCGCAAGCTGGCTCGTGTCTAAATTAAATTCGTGTATAAAGTGGCGTTTATCAAACTTGATACATAATATACTATTTTTAAACTACTGCCAAAACAATAATAATAATAAATGTTCCCTTCTTACGTTGGTTTTTGGTATAAATTGTAGTTTTATAGTGAGGCAATAAAAACTTTTCTTTGTACTATTAGAAAACAACAAAACCTTCAATAGTGACATAAAAATAAATTCAATTCAATCAGGGGTTCTCTTCCCTGTTTGTTCTCAAAGCGAAAGAGAGAAACAGCAAGTGCTATCGAAAATAATAATTTTCATGTTTAAAAGTGAAGAAACGTGTGGGAACAAAACATCCAGAATTATTGTTCACGATGTTGAGCGTGAGCTAAATTCCCATGATAGCTCACGTACGCGCTTCAGTTGAAAAAAACACTGCAGCAACCAATAAATTGTTTTAACCCGGTATTGAATTATATTTGCCCCAGATATTTGATACGTTCTATGATATTGATACTTTATACATGCATTATACATACAGTGACCGGCAAAAGCGAGGGCAAAAGTATGAAACAAATTTTTTGATAAATTCAGCTTTTTTTCTTAAAAAATCCTTGAACAGGTCGGTTTTGTTTTTCAATTATGATATACAATTTTCATATTTTCCGCCATTTTTGTAGAATCTAGAATTTAATATTTTTTGTAAATATTTTAGTATATTACAAAAGATCCAGGTTTTTTTAACTTGTCCATCCAATTTTAATGTATTTTTTCAAAAGCACGTTTGTAGAAAAACATAATAAATATTCAAAACATCAGTACCTTGGCGTGTCACAACTCCTGAATCAAATATTTTGGTGATTTTATTTTAAAATATATTCAATTTAAGTATCTTAAATATTTCAATTTTACTACAAACAATAAAACATTAAATAATGTATTTTTCATATTTTATCATAGATTCGAATAATAGCAATTTTTTAAAAATTGATAATCTTTGTACTCACTTTTACCCGTCAGTTCTGTGTCCAATGTTAAATTTCAAAATTCCGAAATATTGAAGTTTAAACGTCAAGTCCTCGTTTTAACTCAAGTGTTGGTAAAAAATTACCTACAGAATCGAAGAAAAACTTAAAATTTCAATTTTTTCTTCGTGAATAACTTTTGAAGAATTAAATTTAGGCAAAAATGTTACGAGACCTTTTAAATATACATTGATTCATTAGTTACAAAATTTCAAAGTAAAAAGGGCAAATCAAAAAAACACATCGATTTATTAAGCTCAATTACTCGGAAACGGCTCGTCTGACGAAAATTTTTAATTAGACCTTTTTTGTAGAGAATTTAATTTTATATAAAAATAAGTGAAAAGGAATTTTTTTTACTTTATTGTTTTGTCAGTTCTAACGTAAAACATCATATTATGACTAAAAATCAAAAATAGCGATGATAGACCTCTTAAAATTAATATTAAGGGCTTAAATTTTCACGAAATTTTTTTTGTCATTCTGAATGACATTCTCGATATATTTTTCAAAAAAAAATAGTCAATTTTTTTGGCCCAGTCTAGTGTATATATACATTTTAGTGGACGACGATCGGTATTAATGTTTGAAAAATTAGGAAAATAATCCCGCAGTGAATTCCACAATATTCGAAAAAAATGTAAATGAAATAGCCGGGGATCCGTAAATTGAAATGAGATTTTTTGGTTGCCTTACATTCAAGGGACATTAAAGTAATTTTATCTCTTCCTGATACAACGCAGTAAAGTATTCAGATTTCACAAAAGTAAATCCCCTTTAAGTAGTAGGATCACGTCCGAGACCGTTCTTAGCTAGCAAAAGCGCGCATTTAGAGGCGAGAGCCTTCGAAAGCGGTTTATGCGGCCCTTACCCGTTTTGCTCATTCCGTCGTGAATGCGATATGACACGTAACGAACTTGTACTAGGGTGTTTAAAGACAGGTGGGATTTCTGAGGAAAGTTGGCATCGCCATATTCTAAACTATGTCATACCAAATTTGACATTGATTCATTGGTTAGTTTCGATTTAAAGCCATTTGCCTTCTTCAGAGCGAATTTGTCGTGAAAAATCCATTACACAGTAAAAAAAATCAACTCTAAGAACACTAATTAGAGTTAATTTGTAGTGTAATTAGTAGTGTAAGTAAGCAAGTATGATTTAACACTATAGCACTGAGGATAAAGTAATTTTACACTATATTAAAAAGTGTTAATTTACCTAAAATCGTTTACTTCCTGGGTAAAATCTCACTTTTGTTCAGTGTAAATAAACACTACTTTGGAAAAGTTCTAATTTTAGAAAGGTACTTTTACTCTTACATTACAAACTTCTAATGTAAATTAACACTATTATTTGAATAAAACCTATTGGTGGTAGTGAATAAAACGAAAAAGTAAATAAAGAGAAACATTTATTTGGAACAAAAATCTATGACAATTATCAAAATCGGTGCCTTTTAAAATATAATTTTATATATGAGTCATATGGCTGGCTTAAGCAAAATGATTTCTTAAAACGTAAAAGTTTTAGATTAACGCAATGTTTTACTGGCTATCAACTTGTAAGCAATGAATTATCTTAAGAATTCATCAGTTATTCATTTTTCTGTTATAAAAAATGGGTGATCCCATTGGTAGAGAGGCGTCAGGGATTTACCACACGTGTACAAATTTTCCATAATATTAATAAAAATGTAGGTATAGGTTAATATAACAACCATTACGCTTGAAAATAAAAAGTAAATCAAGTGTGTATGTATTTATATTATTAATGTTACAAGTGCCGTAACTTATTGATATATAATATAGGTCAGGTATGGACATCCTTTTAACATATTGGTATTTATTGAGTATTAAGGCTTAAAGAAAAAGGAAGTATAAAACTTACCAAAAAATAAGAATGTCCCCTTATGGATTCACCGTAATTAAAACCTAACTAAACAAAAATGCCACACTTCCACAACGCGGTATCTCCGGATATGCACTGCCTAGGCAGATAGGTACCAACCAAACATTTTAAAACGCATTTCGGTTATTACCAGTTTTTTTAGTCTATTTTGCCACTATTGGTGTAATTTAACTTTAATTGTGATGCAATGTGCACTAGTAGTGTAAAGAAAAAAGAGCTCTTAGTAACATCAAAACAGACAAAGAAATTGGCATGCACTGTAGTGTACATTTTGTCACTATTTAACACATTAAGGGGTAATAAACACTCGCATTAAGTTTTTCTATCCTTTTGACTTATATTAATAATAAATAGTGTGAATGTACCAATGAATAACGTTCATATTGTTTAAATGTGTTTAATTAAGTTAATAAGCACTAAATGCCACCTAGTGTATTTTGTAGTGTAACTTTTACACTTACAAATCAACTCTAATATTTTTACCCCTACACTAAAAAATTTACTCTGGCAAAATTTTTTACTGTGTATAATTTATATTAGTCGTTAACGACTGATTTAAAATATGGATAAAAATAGACAGAATATGAAAAAATAAATTTAGAAGGTAAATATATCTATAGATATATATAACAAAGATATAATTACAATTACTTAACCAAATAATTTCTGCGCGTTAAATTGGCTCTCTAGCCCACTGTGCGATGGCGTCACAGCTACTACAAAATTGTCGGAAAATATGAAAATTTTACATCAAAATGTGCGGAATTAACAAGAAAAATCGATGTGTTCAAGAAATTTTTGGGGGAAAAAAGGCACCTTTTTTAATGAATTTGTTCCATACTTTTTCCGTTGCACTGTAGATTACCTGTGAAAAATTTTAATATTGAAACCGACGACCCAACAATGGGATTACGAGCATTTGTTGGATTAGAGGTAGGATAATTTTGTATAGAATTACGGTAATCAATACAAAAATAAAAATAACATAATTACCCGGTGGCACCTAAATAAAGGGTTTTATCAGTGGCTTAGTTAGTTTTAAGGGCGCCATTAAAAGAGTTACGGCTTGGGGTGGAAACTTATGTGTTCCTGCGGATGAAACGAATGGCTCTTGATACATAAACCCTGTCCGAAATTCAGGAAAGTGCTCTGGTTAACAGGCCAGAAGCCGGCCTGGTTTATGAATGCCAAAAATATCCTCGCTCAAGTGTACTCTAGACACTTTAGCTACATATTGCAAGTATGTTGGCGTCTATCCAAAATTGAAAAATTTAAAACAAAAATTGTAAACATAAAATTTCATCTAATATTGATACACTGGTTATAACCACTATACACGGTGTGCCTGAACAAGTCTCAGGTCACATAAAAATGTCAACCAAAACGGATTGTATTTTTGGAATATTCCTCACTCCAAAACCATATTTTTAAAAATCCTAGCTGATCCTCTTTTTTATTTTTTTGCAATTTTCTGGATTTAAAAAAAACAAGAATCCTAAATATCGGCTTAATTAAATTAGATTTATAACATGATCGTCATTCTATATAATTGGTAGATTTATTTTTGAGTGAGTATTGATCTATTTAATATATATTTAATAGATCAATACTCAAAAATGGATATCCGTTGAGTGAATGGGATAAGATCGGAATGAAACTATAGAATCTCTATACTAGTTTAAATTATATTTTAATTTCTGTAGCTATTTAAAATACGGCTTATTAACACGCTTACACAGCTTTAAGCAGTTTTTTAAACAAAGTAGGCCATGCCTCAGCGAAAAAACAACTTATACGCAGTAATTTATTATCAGTGACAGTTAATAGTATCTATTGGTTATAGAGAATTGTTCTCTCGATAATTTTGAAGCTTTTGAAATAAAAATGACTACAAACGCATGATTTAAATTGAACCAAGAAGAAAATAGAGGTATAGTCTGCGCCCAATGCGATGAAAATATAATTTTTGGAAAATGCCCAATAGCATGTTTGTAATAACTGCAAGATTGGAAAGATTGCTTGTAAAATTTAGTAATCCGAAATATAGTCTAAGCAATATCAAGTTTTTAACTGCAATTTGCGGTACATGCAGGCATACTCTTTGCGATTATGAAAAAAATATTAAAACACGCAAGATGGTGAAAATGCTAGACTGAAAAAGAAAATGTTGTTACAAACTCTACTATGAATATCCAAAATGACGTGCGAGCGTGTGAATATGCACAACAGCAAGATTCAAAGGAAGGTAACACGAGGAAGGGGAAATACAAAAAACAAGGAAAAAAGGGCCCAGGATACCGAAAATAAAATTATTTTGGGCAAAATCTGTTTCACAAGAGTTGGTAAAGGAAAAAAAAATATATGTACGAATTCAAATGTCGTCAATATTATAAAAAATGTTACGCCGAAAACTCAAGAATAAGTCGTTTCTTCAGTTCTCAAGACCCGAGTATTAAAATCTAATAATTCATCATCTTCACGTTTCTATTAGTCTAACGAAGATTGTATTAGATTTTTGAACGGTGCTGGGTTGGGCACATGGTCTGAGCAGGCTGGGAATTCGATCCTTCGCGAGTTTATAAAATACTGGAATAAGTATAAAATCAATTTACTTGAACATCCTGATTATGGTGAACATTTAAAATAAGCTGTAGTTGACTTTAGTTCTAACAAATTGTAAATGATTCATTGTTTTCTGTAAAGTAATTTTAGGTATCATTATTGTTTAATAAATTAAAATATTACTATTATTAATAAAAATTAAATTATGAAAAACCTTCACTTTTTTTCTCTAGTCTCTTGTCAAATTAGAAAATATATTGATTTATAAAAAAATGGAAAAATATAAATAGTGATTTTTTTTTAACTCTCTTTATATTTTAATTCTTGATTCCATATTGAAAATTGATAGGTCGTACTAATATTTAGCGGAGTCCGCCTAAAATTGTAAATTTTAGAAATCACTTCATCAATTTTTGCAAAAAATTCAGAAAATTGCAAAAAAATAAAAAAGAGGATCAGCTAGGATTTTGAAGAATATGGTTTTGGAGTAAGCAATATATGCATATTCCCAAAGTACAATCCGTTTTGGTTGACATTTTTATGTGACCTGAGACTTGTTCAGACACACCGTGTATAGTGAAAACCAACATCCCTTAACTTTCCACTTATTTTTTCGTTGCGTATTTGTTATTTTTTTTGTATTAAATAAAAATAATAAACAAACACACAACCGCAATTTTATAAAATATATTTACAGCGGCCCTTGGAGACAATTTAAGTTTTTTTTCTAAAATTTTCTTCTAGTTTTTTTATACAGATTCACTGCCTTTGTTTAAATATTTCTGTTATTTATCGTAAATTTTAATTAAAAATGAATGAATTTCCAATAAATTGATGATGCATTTAAAACTTTTATATTAAATATAACTACATATTATATTTAATTTAAATGCAAAATGATTGAAATATTTCCAATAAAATAATAAATACAAATACATCAAACTTTTATTGCAATATTTAACAGCTTTATAACAAAATATAACTTACAGTACAATTATTGTAAAAATGACATTGTAGATGTACAGAAATAAATTAAAAAGTGTTTTATATTAAGGATCAATTCATAACATATCCACCAATGATGTTTGATAATATTTTTTTGGCATTCAACCTTTTTTTTAACCCAAGATAAAGTCGATTAGTCGACTGATATTTGTTGGTTTAAAAAAATTCTACGAATTTTTTGCTTTACGAAATTTGTAAATAAAGATGTGTCACAACATACCCATTTGAAAAAATAAGGGGGAATGCTAAGGGTTTAAAGTTTTCTCTCTAAAAATAAATTTTCATGGCAAAAAAAAGCCACTAATAATTCTCGTCAATAGCAATTTGTAACCCGAACATTTAGCACTCAATTTCCATGTAAAATTGTCCATTGAATCCGAAAATGTCGTCAAAAGTTCAAAATAGAACATTTTTTGAGATATAGTCAATTTTTTATAAAAAATGGAATTGACTATATCTTAAAAACTGCTCTTTTTTCATAATTTTTGAATTTTAAATATTGGGGATACCAGGGTATACCATGGTTATAACTGTAGGTCATTTTTGACATAGGGGGCATCCACGTTACTCGGTAATTTTTGTCCCGCCCGTCACAATTAAAAATTGTGAGTAAAAACCACAAGTTATAAAATTAATATTTTATAATATTATTTTTATTGTGCTTATAACTTATTAAAAGCATAATAAAACAATATTTTTAAATAAATTTTATAACGTGTAGTTTTTACTCACAATTTTTAATTGTGACGGGCGGGACAAAAATCCCCGAGTAACGTGGAATGACCCATAGGTAAAAAAAATAAAAAAATATTTTTTTTTCAGCAACATTATTAAATTAAATTGGTTAATTTGAAAAACGATAGCTTATATTGGTATTTTACTTCGGCTTTAATTTAATTCAGAAAATTCTATTTAAATATGAAGGTGTAAAATACGAAATATTTTTACATAGGAGTTATTGCTGAACCAATTGATTTCATAATTGATATTCGTATAAAGACAATGTATCCATGTAATACATAAAGCTTGAACATTATTGATATTACACCTTTCATAAACAGCAAACTTGCTTACGATGTTATGTTTAAAGCAATTAATCGCTTATCAAGTTTCAAAACAATAAGCTACATCAGACAACACAAACTTTATATACGCTATATACAGGGTGTCTATTTAAAATCGCTCTATACCTAAAAAAGATAAAAAAAATTCAAAACCGTTTCTAGGATATGTGGGAATCAGTGTGACCACAAAAATTATCTTCACTAAGCCGTCTTTGCTATTTTACAGTATTAAAATAAATAATTTTTGAAAAATACGGAAAATCATTTTTATAATTATTTATTACAATTTCTCGTCATAAATATTAAATTAAAACATTTTTGTCGTAAAAAAATTAGTAAAGAAACTGGAAAACACAAAATAATTATAAAACTATAATAAACTAAAAAAAATTAAATAAACAAATTGTAAAAAAATACAAACTTGGCAAATCTTTAATGGAACACCCTATATTATAATAAAAATTATTATATATTTTTCTCCCTTCATTCAAAAATATATAATATGTTAAAAATTAGTTGAGTTGTTTTTGAAATATAGGCATTTAAAAAACGTAATTATAGTAAATTTAAAAGGAAACGACGTACATGTCATCGATCAGCTGTTCTGGCACGGTTGTCAATGTGATGATAAAATCATTGCATCAAGTGAAAGTGGTAGTGCAACTACAGGGCGATAGATGGCGTTTACATGCATAATACTATAGGGTCCCTAGATTTGAGACCTTGGAATACCAAAATTTTTAAAGACATTTTCAGTTATAAAACCCAGAAATTTTGCCATCTAAAGTCAGTCTCTGGTATATATTATTATTTTATGTATCCAACATATATTTTGTTAAATATTCTAACATAATATAAGTAATTAATAATAACATAATATAATTAATAATAATCCTATTTACCTCTACCCAGAAATTTTGCCATCTAAAGTCAGTCTCTGGTATATATTATTATTTTATGTATATATTTTGTTAAATATTCTAACATAATATACTTAATTAATAATAACATAATATAATTAATAATAATCCTATTTACCTCTTTAACAAAAGGTAACAAAGGTCCATTATTATCCCGTTCTGCCTCAAAATAGCGTATTAAGGATGATACTAACTCTTGACTCCGACTATTTAAATCAGCCATTTCACATATAGGAAAAGCAAAAAACGATATATGGGTGATTCTGCAAAAGTTGGACAACTTGATGTCATCAGTCAATAGAGTAGGTATTTTAATATTTTTTGTAAATATTTTAGTATATTACAAAAGATCCAGGTTTTTTTTAACTTGAACACCAAATTTTAATGTATTTTTTTAAAAGCACGTTTGTAGAAAAACATAATAAATATTGAAAACATCAGTACCTTGGCGTGTCACAACTCCTGAATCAAATATCTGAGTGATTTTATTTTTAAATATATTCAATTTATCTTAAATTTTTCAATTTCCCTACAAACTATAAAACATTAAATAATGTATTTATACCTATAGGTATCAATTTTTAAAAAATTGCTATTTTTCGAATCTATGATAAAATATGAAAAATACATTATTTAATGTTTTATAGTTTGTAGGGAAATTGAAAAATTTAAGATAAATTGAATATATT